TTTTGGGGGTGCGTGCGCGCGGCCGGGGGGTGCTGGCGATTTGGGGGTGCCCTGGAAAAGGGGGGGTGCGTGTGCAGGCACGGGCGGCGCTCAGAGCCCCAGTCTGACCAGGTTTTGCCCCAAAAGCTGCGGCGTGTTGCTGCGCTGTGCCCCCTGCCCGGGGGAAACATGACAGGTCAGGGGGTTGGGGCAGGGGCAGCTCGACTGGCTTACTGCTGCCTTACTACTGGGTTACTCTTTGCTTCCTATGAGGCTGCTGCTCAGGTACTGCTGGGATATTCTCAGTAGGGTGGTGAGGCAGTAGTAGATACTGTCAAGACACAGCCAAGATACTCTAAAGTTACTACTGGGATGCTACTAAGATGCTATCAGGAGTTCACTGAAATGCTATAAGGATACTCCACAGTCAGTACTAAGGCACTTTCAGGGTGGCACTAAGATACTGGCATGTGGATACTACTGGTATAGTGTGAGAATGCTACTAAGATACTATCAGGGCACTGCTGGGATGCTATAGGACACTACTAAGATTTCCAGCATCTTTCCAGGGTTGATACTATTGGGAAGGTACCACCAGGGTACTCTCAGGATACTACTACAGATACAGTTACATTGCTTCCTGCATAGTTACATGGCACTAAGATATTATCTTACTAACAATAAAATAATAAATATTTGAGTAAATAATAAAATAATTTAATAGCATTGCACTACCAAGATACTATGAGGACACTACTAAAATACTAGCTATATACCATTAGTCCACTATTAGGATCCTATCAGGACACTGCTCATATACTACTGTGATACTATCATGGCACTGTTAGAATGTAACTAAGATGCTATTGGAATGCTCCTGACATAGTATCAGGATACTCCTACCTGTGCTAGTACAACATCAGGGCAATTCTGAGCTATTCCATGGCTACTACTAGGATACTCTCTTGGTGTAGCACAAATGTACCATCAGGATGCTACTAAGATGTTATCAGGATACTGCCTGGATACACCAAGGATACTGTTGAGATACTTTCACAGTACTATTGGGGTGCTGCTAAGATACCTAGTAATATCCTAGTAATGGTGCTACAGGACCATTACTAGGATACTACTAAGTATCAGGTTACTATCATGATACTCGCAGGATATTCTGCTAAGGTGCTATTAGGACAATACTTTTAGTAGGATGCTGTCAGGATGCTAGTAAAAAATATCAGTGGAATACTTCTGAGATACTACAAGGGCACTAAAAAAGATACTTCTGGGATACTATCTGGGCAACACTCAAACTTTTGGGATAGTCAGTACATTACTGATGCTAGTATGATACTTTCAGGCCACTACTAAGATAGTGATATAGTATAAGGACACTGCTAAGATACTACCAGTTCAGTAAAAAAGGTAGTGTTATGGTACTTCTTATATACTATCAGGGTAGCACTAAGATACTTTTGTGCCCCTGTCAACACTTTGTTGCTACTAGTAAAATACAACTAGTATTATGTCGGGATAATAGCTATATGTTAGGATATCAGCATATGTTTATAGTGCTGCTAAGATGCTTTGAGGTCAGTACTAAAATGCTCTTGGGATACTACTAGGATACTAGAGAGATACTGCTGGTTGTTCAGTAGGTCTGGCAGTAGGGTTTCAGCCAGCATGGCAGCAGCAAAGGGAACAGGGGGCCCTGGTGTTGTAAGCTGTGAGGGGCTACTCACAGGCACCCTCTCCCTGCAGCTAAGGCGGCGCGGTGGCATTGAGGAGGATGGAGGCACCCCTGGTAAGCCTGGAGGAGGAGTTCGAGGAGGGCCCCGGGGACGATGGGGGCACCCCACAGCGCACGGCAGACCCGGCGCTGGCGGAGCTGGAGAGCTTCTCGGCCGAGATGATGAGCTTCAAGTCGATGGAGGACCTGGTGCAGGAGTTTGACGAGAAGCTGACCGTCTGCTTTCGCAACTACGATGCTGCCACCGAGGGTCTGGCCCCTGTGCGGGGGCGTCTCCAAGCGCAGGAGGAGGAGGAACGCCTCCAGGATGAGGAGTGAGTAAAGCCCCACTACTCCTTGGGGGCACATGCCTCCTCGCATACTTGCAAAATACTCCCCCCCCCACACCTCCAGTGCAGACTGGCTCACTGCATTGCTTATTGCCACATCAAAGCAGGGCTGTAGTAACCTGTGAGTAAACCCCCTCACAGCCTGTGTGCCTTCTTGCACCTTTGGGACACTTCCTTGGGTCATGCGCCACGTCAGGAGTAGCGCGGTCATATACTGTGAGTAAGGACTCCCTCGCGATCTGCGTGCCGCCACATAGTACACCCCGCGTGCAGCTCAGACCCCTGCATTGCAGCATAGTCATGCAGCAGTGTGGAGTAGCTGTGTAGTATTCTGTGAGTAGCTGTGTAGGATCCTTAGAGCAGCTGTGTAATATCCTATGAGTAGGCCACCCTTGGGCCTGCGTGCCTCCTTGCATGGTCATGAGATACGCCCCCTCCCATGGCATGCAGGCCAGGCTGCCCCACTGCAGCATGGCTGTGTACCACATCAGAGTAGCAGTGTAGTATCCTATGTGTAATGCCTCTCTGGGGCCTACTGCACCTTCTTACATGCTTGCAAGACCTCCACCACATGCACGTGCTGTGGCGTGATCATGCAGCACCTTGGAGTAGCTGTGTAGGATCCTTGGAGTAGCTGTCTAGCATTCTAGGAGGGGGCACAGGGGGGTGCCCCATGTCACATTGCAGAGGGTGACAGCCGGCCAGCAGGCTCAGTCTGTGTGAGGAGAGCCCCCAGGGGGGTGAGTGTAAACCTTGAGTAAGGTGTGAGTAGAGTTTAGCCTTATTGCAACATGCAAGCTCTGCACTAAGCCGGGGGAAGCCAGTCTGGGGCAAAATCCCCCCAGCCCTGCCATAATATAGTGGCATTTGCATTAAAATCTTAGATTTTCATTAAAAAGCTTTATTTCTAATTGCAAAAGGAGATTTTTTCCCCCCAATTTTTGTATTTCTTCAGCGATATTTATGCCTTAACACCTTTCTAACAGAATTGTTGTGTGTATAATTGGGATTATTCCCCAGGCTGCCATTCCTAATGCTCATTTTTCACCATGCAAAGTGGTTGTTTTCAGCCCAAAAGCCCCCAAATCTGTTTGTTTCAGGCTTTGTTTTTTTTTCACCAAAACCCGCTGAGGCTGAATTGCTTTTCGTAATTGGCCAAATTGATGGTTTTTCAGAGAAAAATGCATTTTGGCCCGGTGCCGGGAGTGTGGCGCTGTCGCCGGCAGCCGGCTCGCTGTGCTGCTTTGTGCTGCTTATTGTGTCTTTTTGGGTCAGTTTGGTCAAAACAGGGCTTTTTTTTTTTCTGCTCCTTCTTGAATGAGCCCTGTGTGCACGGGCGGGGGATGGGCTGGAGCCTTAAAGATGCTGAATTTCCCTAATTATTAACCAGTTCTTGCCATAATTAACTCAGAAATCTGCTGCTGCTGCAGCTTGCCTGACTCTGCAGGGTGCTGGCTCTTTAAGAGCAGAAAAAAAGCAAGTTTGGGGGGGGATAATCACGGGGTTTTTTTCCTTTTTTTGCTGCATTTTTGTTAAAAATAGGAATATAGGGGGGTTTTAGACGTATACATTAATTTGTGAAATATGTTATTCAGAGGGAAATTAAGATCAGGTGAGGAGGGAGATGAGGTAAATACCAAAATAGAGCATTTTGGGGGCGGAGTGGGGCAGGCTTTTTTGGGGTGATTTGGAGGGAATCGGGATGTGCGTGGATGAGGCAACGTGTTGGACTAAAAATGCCATTTGTGGTGGGAAAATGGGTGGGTTTGCATTAAATGGGGAGAGATTTTCTAATCTCTTTTCGTGCCTTTACCCCCATTTTTTACCTTTTTCCCTGTGTTTGATCTTTTTCTCCATTTTGACTTTTCCTGATGTCACCAGGTTTCAGCTCTCCTCTCCCATTTTTCCCATTTTTTCTCTTCCTCCCTTTCTCCCATTTTCTCCACTTTTCCCCATTTTTCCCTTTTTCCTTCTTTCAGCCCTTTTCCTCCTTCCCCTATTCTCCATTTTCCCATCTTTCCTTTTCTCCCCCTTTTTCTCTTTCCCGTTTTTCCCCCTTTTACCTTCTTTTCCTCCTTTCTCATTTTTCTTCCTTTTCCTTTCTACTCCATTTTCCCTTCCACAACTTTTCCCCATTTTTCCCCCCTTTTTGCCCTTTTTTCCCCGTCTTCTCCTTCTTCCCCCCTTCCCCCCTCCCTTATTCCCTCCATTCCCTCTCCCCTCCCCCATGCACCATTTTTGGGGTGAAATTAGGCAAAATCGGTCCAGCCCCCAGAGGAGAATTGGGCATCTCTAATAGTGAGGCAGAGGAGGGGGGGTTAGGGGGGTTCAGGGTACTTTTGGGGTGGTTTGGTGCATTTTGGGGTATCAGGGCCATGGTTTGGGGCAGTTTTGGCGTTGTTTCTAGGTGTTTCTGGGCTGTGTTTTGGAGGTTTGGGGTTGTTTCAGGGTGTCACAGCAGTTTTTGGGGGTGTATCGGGGTGTCTGGGGGTGTTTCAGAGAAGCATTTTTGGGAGTTCTGGGGCAGTTTGGGGGTGTTTCAAGGCTGTTTCAAGGTGACAATTTGGGGTATTTCATGGTGGCATTTTGGGCTGCTGGAACTGCATTTTGGGGCATTTCAGCATGTTTCAGGGCAGCATTTGGGGGAGTTTTGGGGCATTTTGGGGTGTTGGACAATTGGGGTTTGTTCTGGAGCATCACAGTGGTATTTTGGGGTGTTTCTCTGGGGTATCAGGGCAGCTTTTAGAGGCATTTTAGGGTGTTCGTGGGCAGTGTTTCAAGACAGCATTTTGAGATGTTTCAGGGTGCTCTGGAGCAGCATTTTGGGGCATTTTGAGTAGCATTTCAGAATTTTGGGGTATTTCTGCATGTACAAAGGCGTCATTTGGGGATGTTTTGGAGCATTTTGGGGGTTTTTGGTGTGGTGGTGTGAAGCGTTTCAAGGTGGCAGTTTTGGAGCATGGGGGGCATTTTGGGGTGTTTCAGGATGGCATTTTGGGGCATTTCAGTGCATTTTGGAGCTTTGGGACCTTTAGGAGTATTTTGGGGTGTTCCAGGTCAGCATTTTGAGGTGTTTTGTGGCCTTTCATAGGGTCTTGGGGTTTGGGGCAGTGTTTTAATATAACATTTTGGGAGGTTTCTCCGGCTTTGGGAGCTTTTCAGGATGTTTTGGGGCATTTCAGGGCATCATGGTGATGTTTTGGAGTGGCATGTTGGGGCATTTCAGAGTGTCTTTTGGGGCATCTGGAGACATTTTGGGACATTAACAGTGGCCTTTTTGGGCATGTTTTGATGGCAACGTTTCAAAATTACATTTGGGGTGTCTCAAGCGCTGGGACAGCTTTTTTGGGTACTTTGGGGTATTTCAGGGCAGTATCTCATGATGATATTTTGAGAAGCTTTGGGGTCTGCTAGGGCAGCATTTGGGATCTTCTAGAACATCATTTGGGGTGTTTGGGGATTTTTTGGACATTTCGGTGGTGTTTGGGGATTTTTTTGAGGACGTTTCAGGGTGTTTCTGGGGCTGTATTTTGGGGTGTTTTGAGGCACTTCAACATGCCGTTTTGGGATGGTTTTCTGGGAGGCAACAGTTTGGGATCAGCGCTCACCACCCACCTCCCTGCAGGGTCTGGGATGCTCTCACCGATGGCTTCGCCCCCCGGGGCTCACCCCGACCCTGGCTGCTCCCCGGGGCTGAGGCCCCCGACAGCACCGACCCCCAGGTACGGCTGTGGCTCCCCAAACCCCCTTTGTCCCTGCATGACCCCCTGCTGATGATTGACAGCTGTCCATCAGCCCCAAGGTCCAGCGACCATGAGAGCACTGCAGACTACTCAACATTTTAGGGTGAAACCACACTGAAATGGGCAAGATTAAGTGTTTGGTTTGTCAGTCTGGTCTTTGCCTCCAAGCCAGGCATGAGGTGGTGTATTTTCTGGAGCAGAAAGTAGTGTTTTCTTCATTGGAGTGAGTTTTAGCTCAACATAGATGTCTTCTGGGTTGTGGGAGGGCTGCAAAGATGCCTCAAAATCCACTGAATTTAACCCACTTGAATATTATGCAACCTGTGGCTAAAGGGGAAAAGTAAAAAGAAAAAGAAAAAGTCAATTTCTTGGGTGGTTTTCTGCTAAAAAGGTGAAACAGACTGTGAAAGGTGGTAAAAATGAAGATGCCTCCCTGTCCAACATTTCCATCCATCATCTCCCCATCCAGCATTCCTTCTGACATCTCCCCATCAAATGTCCCCATCCAGTGTCTCCATCTGACCCATTCAGCATCAACATCCACCACCTCCCCATCCAACATCCCCATCTTCTCCATCCAGCATCTGCAACACCTCCCCATCCAGTGTCCCCATCCAGTATATTAATCCAAACATCTCTCCATCCAACACATCTGCACTTCTCCCTGTCCAACTTCCCAGTCTAATGTCTCCATCCAGCCACTCACCATCCAGTGTCTCCCCATCCATCTCTGCGCAGGACACTGGATGGGGATGCTGAAGATGTTGGAGAGGGAGATGGTGGACAGGGAAGCATTGGATAGGGAGGTGTTGAAAGGAGACAAAGTCCCCTCCAACATCCCTGTCCAACATTTCCCCATCCAACATCTCCATCCACCTCTATCCAGTGTCCCTGCCCAACATCCTTCCATTCAATGTCCCCATCCAATGTCTGCACCCAGTGCCCTCATCCAGTGTCACCCCATCCAACATCTCCCTGTCCAACGTCCCCATCTGTGCCCCCAGCCGATGTCTCCCCATGCAGTCACCCCCAGCACCATGTCCCCCCCCAGCTGTGGTTCCTTGCTGGCTCTCCCCATGCCAGGGCCATGCTGGGGCTGTGCCTGTGCCAGGCCATGCCTGTGGTGCCACCAAGGCCACCCAGCCTATGTCTCCTGCAGCTCTGTGAGAAGGAGGAGGAGGAGCTCACTGAGAGGAGTGAGCAAGACTCGGGCATCAATGAGGAGCCGCTGCTGACAGCTGAGCAGGTACCCCTGGCCCCCTGCGTGTTCCCCAAAAGCCAGGCTTTAGCCCCCCAGCATGGCCTCAGCCCACCCCAGCCCCATGGCCATATGTTGAAAGCCCCAAAAAAGGCCAAATGTAGGATGGAGGGCCTGGGATGGAGATTTGGATGTAGGTGGAGGTGCAGGTTGTGGGTGCTGATGTGGGGTTCGGGTGCGGATAGGAAGGTGGGGTGTTGGATGCTGGGTGGCATGGATTGAGGGATGAAAACGGGGGTCAGAGGTGGGATGGAGTGGCAGGAGGCAGCGCGGAGGCGAGAGGCGGGTGTGGGGTGTGGGTGCTGGGAAGGGGACGTGGAGGCGGGTTTGGGGTGCGGGTGCTGGGTGGAGGAGGTGAGGGTGCAGGATTCAAGGTGCAGAGTGACGGGAGCAGGACGCAGGAGGATGAAAGGGAGAAGGGGTGAAGGGAGAAGGTGGCAGATGCGGGTGCAGGGTGTAGCTGTGGGCTGCCCGGCGTAGGTGCGAGATGGAGGTAGGATGGGGGTGCAGATGGAGGACACTCATGCCCTGCAGGTCATCGAGGAGCTGGAGGAGCTGATGCAGAGCTCGCCTGACCCCGAGGCCGACCCCGAGGGTGATGAGGATGAGGAGGATGACGAGGAGGAGGATGAGGAAACAGAGACCGATGCTGAAGGGAAAGGCAGTGGCGGGGGCACGGAGCCCATCCTCCTGCGTGAGCTGCGTGCTTTCTCCCCTGCCTTCAACAACAACTGCTCCCATGAAGGTATGGCCAGCAAAATCCAGCCCCAGAACTGGGGCAATTCCAACCGAATTAGACAGCTGGGTCTCTCGGGGCCTGGCTTGCTCCACTCTTCGCACTCCGTTTGGCCAGCGGGGGTTCTTGGCAAAAGATTAGGCCTGCGAGGATCTTGTTTTTAGTGTTTCTTCACATGCACCCGGGGTTTTGCTGAGAGCACTGTACATTTTGCTGAGCACTTTGCTCCCCCTAAACACACTAATTGCTGCTGTATGTGCGGTACACCAGGCATGTCCCTAAATCCATGGATTTTCCCTAATTATGCATTTCCCCAGGAGCACCATGCAGCATGCATTTAACTGCGCCGTGCAGCGCAGGGGACGTTTCTCTACGTGCCACTAAATGCACCAAATGCTAAACTTTTCATTAACGGCATGGGTCGTGTTCGTAATGAGTCCAGGCAGCACCATAATTGCTCAGGGCATGTCATTTATGATGCGGAGCATTGCAGTAATTGCACAAAATGTTTATGAATTGCTGGTCCCGTAAATGCACGGTGTATCTCCTTAATCACACGATGCATTTTAACAGTTCCAGGGTGTGTTTCACTAATTGCACTGTGCATTTCATTAATTGTCATGGGAATTTCACTACATGTAGCATGTGTTCACTTGCACTAGCGTGTCACTAACTGCACAGGTGTATCACTAGTTGCTGCAAACATGCTGGTAATTGCATGGTGTATGACTCGTTGAACTAGCATGTCACTAATTGCACAGGCATATCACTAATTACCCCAGACATGCTGGTAATTGCATAGTGCATATCACTAACTGCACTAGCATGTCACTAACTGCACTAGCATGTCACTAATTGCACTGGCATGTCTCAGACAGACATATCCCCATCAACCTTCCTGCGCTCGGCATTTCACCAGTGGCCCTGGGCCATACACTAATTGCCCTGTGTCTTAATAATTGCACTCTGTGCCTCGCCAGTTACATACTTTGTTCCTTTGCATCTCCCTAATTGCACTGTGTGTGTCACTAGTTGCACGGGGTATGTCACTCATTGCACCAGGTGATTCATTTCTTGTGTGGTACATTTCACTAATTGCACCAGACATCCCGCTAATCACCCCCAGCACCTTAATTACACTGCGTGTCCCACTGTAATAAGGCATTTTGTAAACTTCGGGGTGCACTACGTTAATTGCACCGGGCATCCCGCCAATCGCCCCGGCCGCGGTGTTGGTCGCACTTACTGCACTGGTGCTTCACCAGTCCCTCCGGGCAGCCCTTGGGTCACCCTGTGCAGCTTCATCATTTCTGCCTGCATCGCACTAATTGCCCAACGCATTTTTCAGAATGAGTGTGCGTTTTCCTGATTGCACTGGCTCCAGTCAGGGATTGGACCAATCGGTGTTACCCCTTGCCCCGGGGCTGCCCGTTAATCCGTTAATCACCCTCACAGAATCACAGAGTCACTCAGGCTGGAAAAGCCCCTCGGGATCATCGAGTCCAACCCTCAGCCCCACTCTACAAGTTCTCCCCTACCCCACATCCCCCCACAGCTCATCCCAACGGCCCTTAAACCCCCCCAGGGATGGGGACTCCCCCCTCCCTGGGCAGCCTGTTCCACTCTGACCACTCTGTCTGGGAAACATTTTCTCCTCCTGCCCATCCTGACCCTCCCCTGGGGCAGTTTCCAGCCGTTCCCTCTTGTCCTGTCCCTGATCCCCTGGGAGCAGAGCCCAGCCCCGGCCTCTCTGCAATGTCCTGTCAGGAGCTGCAGAGAGGGATGAGGGCTCCCCTCAGCCTCCTCCTCCTCACACTGAACACTCCCAGCTCCTTCCCTGGCTCCTCACAGGATTTATTCTCCAGGCCCTTCCCCAGCCTCGTTGCCCTCCTCTGCCCTCGCTCCAGCCCCTCGAGATCTCTCT